TCGATTTCTGCCGTGGTGGGATGAAAATATAATCCATATTCATTTTAGATGGGTCCAGTTCGCTAACAATTTCAGCTGCTGTAGCCAGTTCATGTTTTATGATTTCGTTGATTTCATCGTATTTCTTATCCCCGGCGCACTAAATTTTCCGTGAATTTGATGAATTTCGGACATGATCTGCAAATCCTCGCTGTCGTCTTCATTGCATTGTGAATTCGCGAAATAAATACGACGGAAGAACTTTCTTCAAGCAGTCGTCCTTTAGAACCAAATCCAAGCAGTCGAAACAATTCTTGATGCTGAACTACTTTCGTGTATCCGCTAGTGAAAGGCCTTCATTCTCGGCGGTTTCCAGAATAAAACTGTAGCTTCTCTTGACATACTGCAGCTTGAAATTTATGATGATGCCTTGATCAAGGGGTTGAATCAAAGACGTGATCTTTGGTGGCATGTATAGAAGCATTATGTTGGGATTGTTGCATTCCAGTTGTTGATTCTTCCGTAGTGTCTTGATTTCGTCACCGAACGATTCGCCTTGTGCCATCTTGAACAAAACCTCCTCTGCCTTCTGAAACTCTGCTTGTCGTAGGAGAATTCTAACCGAAGGAATTCTGGTCATAAGCCACCTTTCTTGAGACGCCGTAGGTTGTAAGGTTTCGATAGGTTGTCTACGAGCCTTCAGCCGACAATTCGACACGAATCTGAAGAGGCAAGCTACTGTTCGCACAAATACATTCCATTTCGAAATGTTGTTAGCGTTGACGAACGGTTTCACCAGGGCGATGTCATGGAACAAGAACATGGCTCTCAGTTCTGTTTTCGTGTTTGGCGGAGGGAGTGCTTGTTGCGGCCATGTTTGTGGTGACATGTACAGAAATTCTGGCCCCCGAAACCATGGACTTGTGGAATGTAGTCCAGGATAGCGCCCCCACTTTGTTAGACAATCAGAAATGTTCAGTTTAGAGGGTATCCAGCGCCAATCTAACAAGTTGGTTAGGCTTAATATTTCACCGATTCTGAAGCCGACGAACTGTTTATATTTTCGCTGGTCTGAACGGATCCAGGAGAGTACAGTTTGTGAATCGCTCCAAAAGAAAATTTGCTGAATCTCAAGGGAATGAATTTGTCGAACATTTTTCGACATGCGTGCTGCCAGTACCGCTGCTTGCAGTTCTAAACGAGGAATAGTAAGCTGTTTCAGCGGGGCTACCTTGGATCGGGCCATTACCAAAGAACATCGTACTTCCTCATCGACATCAATCCATAGCAAACCAGCACAACCAAATGCATTTTCACCTGCGTCAGAAACAGGTGTAGCTGAATCGGTCTAAAACGATCCGACTGGATACTCCCGAAGTAGGACCTTGGAATCTTTACCTGCTCTATTTCCGATAACATGCTCATCCATAGATTCCACTTGTTCAGCGATTCCTCATCGATAGCTTCATCCCATTCACATCCCGTACGCCAAAGATCTTGGATCAACATCTTTCCCAGCACAGTAAAAGGTGCCAGCAGACCCAACGGATCGAAGAGAGACATTACCGTACTGAGAACTTCTCTTTTGGTAGGACGCTCTAGCCCATTACAAATCCTTACGTTATGAGATGGAACCGAGCATGACAGCACATCTTCTTGCGTATCCCAAACTACTCCCAGCACTCGTTCTCGATCGACGGACTTGTCCTGATTGAGGTGAATCATATTATTTAACCTTGACTCACCTAGATGCCGCAATACGTCATCGGAGTTTGATGCCGCATACTTTGTGCATCATGAGTGTGCACATATTCCTTCTTCTTCGACTTATTTCTCGCAGGGTCAGTCGAGGGCTCAGCTCCGATGAAGTCTGTTACCTCCGAGACCTCAGACACGATTTCGTTAGTAAAATCTGTAAATATCCTGAGCGGAGTTCCAATCTTTCCCCGCTTAAATCGTATCCAATCTAGCTTGTACTCCGACGGAAGTTTGCTGACCAGCTCTTGTACCAGCATTGGGTTACATAAATGGTCTTGCAGTCCAGCTGCTTCGAGGTGGTCGCAGAGTTGCTTAACGGTGATCCCGAAGTATAGAAAGGTTTCAAGTTTATCTAATCTCGGTGCTTGTGCCTTACGGACCTTCGCAACTAGCGTCTTGAGTAGCTTTTCCGGATTGCCAAAGAGTTTGCGTAAGTCATCTATTACTTCAGGCACCGAATCAGGTAGCAGTAAGCGGCTTTGGACGGCTTCCTTAGCAAGGCCCTGTAGACTGTCTTGAAGTCTCTTCAAATTATCCGTGTTGGTGAAACCGCATGCAGCTGTGGTGTAATCATAGCAGCTAATAAAAAGAGGCCAAACTTCTGGTTCTCCCCTAAAGGTTGGCAAATGTTTCGAGGCCGCTTGTCGTGCGGCCAACTGTGCCTTAGGTGGACCTCTGGCCTGAATCCGTGTTTCTCTTGGTGACCCCGACCTGTTTCGCTTTCGACGGTTCAAAATATCACGGATGGCAGCAATTTCTTCTTCCGTCCATTCTTCCTGCAACGGTTGCTCCTTTTCATCTTCTTCTTCTTCTACTACTTCTTCTTCTGATTCTGCATCTCCTTGGTTGACTTCTGAACCTTTTTCGAAAGCATCCTTCGCCTTTCGGTCAACTAGCTTTATCTTAATAGGAGCTCCAACTTGTGGTTCTTTCGCTTTCGGACGGGCCCCTCTCGAATCTTTCAGCGTAGGTTCCAGCCACTGACGTACTCTATCCAATGAATCACCAGTCTCAACTCCATCCTCAGCCGCCTCGTCTTCAGGGGTCTCATATTGACGTACCATATCGAGTTTCAACCTTTGGAACTGATTTCTGAGTGATTGCTGCGTTTCTAGAAATGCTCGTTCATCCTCCAAACGTTGTTTTAGCAACAACTGTTCCTTCGCCAACAGCTCTCGCTGCTGGGCCCGCTTATTCTCCATTAAAGCACATTCCATTTCGAGACGTTTTTCAGCAATTTTTCGCTGATCTTCCAGTTCCTGTTCTCGAGCCTCTCGTTCCTGCTCCAGTAATTGGAAAGCTTCCGAATTCGATGTCTGACTAGCTCCTCCGCTAACTTCCGAGCCCGCATCGCTCTTTGCACCAGAACCTGGCTTTTTAGTTGCCGATTTTTTAGCGGCTCCCTTTTTGCCGGATTTCGGTAAAGTTAGCATATTGCTGCACTTTGAACAGGTCCAAGACTCATTTTGAACATCATTCGTGACTCCGGCGCAGCGGTAGTGTGCCTAAAGATCGCAACTGTCGCACTGGACCATATCATCCAAGCAGTCAGAGAACATACAATTCTGATCGGTGGTTGCTACTTTAGCCATTTTGAGGTTACGTCCGATTAAAATTCTTCAAGTTTGTTCGGATCCTATGTAGGAAAAACTTCTTCACAGCAGCCTTTTGCGTTTAGCAGCTTGAAGCTGAAATCAGATAAGATTTTTAATGTATTGTGTTAGTGTTACAATTTTAATCTTACAATTTTAGTTTCTTCTTTTCCTCCTGCAGGCAATCGGCGCAGCAAGTACTACTTTTAGGTCCACCCGGCTTCAAGACAATCTAGATTTTACAATTATTTTGGGTATATGAATAAATGATTTTGTTCTATTGGATACTAACCTAGATTTTGTAAATCAAAAACGCTCGACGTGGACGCTAATCAAATAGCCTTTAAATATTGATATTTCCCTAAATTAGTGTTTATTTTTATTGTTGTTGTTCACACATTATAAGGTTTTACTTACTTCAGTTAGTTTTAAGACAATTTAGTAATTTTCAATTCAAACTGTGAAAAATTTAGTTTAACTAGGATAGCTTCTAACAAATTGAACCAATTATTCCGAATCGTGACTAGCTTCTGTCCTATTCTTCTATCTGACGTTTTCAACTTGATAGACGTCACGACCGAAGTTAAGTTGCCGGCGATCCCTCGTGAAAGTTTTATTTATTGCAGCTGCCCAGTGACGTTGTACGCAACAGAAGGGTATTTGACAGTTTTTCTTGAACCGATGGCCGCCATCTTGGATTCAAAAATGACGTCTGGCATCGATTGCTGGCCTCTACACGTCATCCCCTTTCCGAAAATACTTATATTGTAGGGTATTTGACAGTATTTCTTGAACCGATGGCCGCCATATTGGATTCCAAAATTACGTCTGGTATCGATATCAGCCTCTCTATAGCCCCCCCCCCCCCCCTCCCTATTCCGTTTTGTGTCCTCACATTGCACAGCAACATCTTATATGGACAAGCTTTCCAGGCATAACATATTAAGGAAGTTCATGTGCACACTAGCGCTGCGTAGTGAGAGAGTTCTGAACTAATATGGCCACCATTCGAAAGGACTTGGTCACTTGAACAACTTTGCTGAAGACAGTAACTTTCTATATGGCCAGGATCACGAAATATTCTATGTTGGACCTATGATCCATATATTATAGCACCCATCACAAGTAACATAAAAGTGAAGCACCTCTAGCGGCGTAGTTCCCAATTAAACCTGAATCCAATGACACAGGCTTGTTGGTCTATCCGAGTACAACAACTTTGAAGAAGACAGTATAGCTTTATATATTGAAACAAATAAGATAATCCACCACAGCCCCTATTAGTGAAAATCCCATAAGCTGTGCGTATCCTTATTCGCGGTTCCTTATTCACGCCCCTGTTACCCCGGCAATAAGGATTCCTGACTGTAATCAGCGGGGGTGAGTCAACATCCCTAAAAATCTGAAAAAAAACCGCAGAATGTTATGGTCGGTCCTTAGTAAATCTAAAATTCCGTAGATCTATGGATAAACCCGTATAACTAAACCATACCAACGTGACAATTTCATCTCATAGTCTGAAAATAAGAAGAAGAAGAAGCAGAAGAAGAAGAAGAAGAAGAAGAATAAGAAGAAGAAGAAGAAGAAGAAGAAGAAGAAGAAGAGGTTAATCAATGGGGCATCTTCAATGACGAAATGAAGCAGAACTAACAAAGACGCGGGCGGTTTCAATTCGTTTCATATATTCTTTAAACTTTATTCACAATAACATGTTTCCGTTCTTCCTAATCAATCCGAACGAGAATTTATACTTGCACAGTTTGTTTTTTGTGTTTTGCTTTTGCAGGAGGAGGTCAATGAGCGACTAATAAAAACCCTGGTGAATAACACAGCAGTTCAACAGGATCTTTCTACTATTATTTTTTTCTTTCGACACAGATAAACATTTTCTCTTGTTTTGTAGAACACGTTAAAATACAAATACCTACATATATATCAAGATGACTATCGCCCATCCGAGTCACACTAAAATTTCCAATTGGCCAATTATTCGTCAAATGGTCGCAGAGGTGTGACCAAAAATAATTATTGTCTTTTATCATCCATCATATTCGGTTTTGCCAATTTTGCTAAGAACTGAAGTCGAATGCCAAAAAGAAATAAAGAAAGAACCCAAAAGTGGTCGCCCTATTGCCTAACTGATCTAGAGGCTAACGTACGTTTGCGGTATGTCGATTTCTACGATGCAATTAGATTGCTTAGCTGTTGGTTTGCTCAACCATCGAGGGGGCCCGTTTCGTCGAATGCGCGATGTGAGTGTAATATGATCATAGATGCGATGCGCGCTTATAATGTGTGTATAGGAGTATATGTATGTAGATCACGACACCATCCGGCGGACTCGCACGATTCACAGCGTTGTCACCGGGGTTGATAAATTGGTACCGGTTTGTTCTTTCGATAAACTGAAGCTGATCGACTCGCAATTTGGCAGAGGCCATCTCCCATCATCCCCTCTTGCTTTGATAATTCGGCGTGTGTGTATGTGTGTGTGTGTTTTCTGTTCTAGATGAGTGGTGTTGATCAGTGTTTAGTGGAGGAGCAGGTAGCCTTTACTTGTACTGCTTCAGGAACTTTTCGTGGAACGCCCGGAACATGTCCAACATTTCCTTTAGCTTGGCCGGCTGCGGCAGGATGGTGGTGCGGAAATGGTAGGTGCCGGGACGCTGGCCGAATCCGGAGCCCGGGACGATGCAAATGCCTGTGTGGAAGAAGAGAGGATAGTTTAAGGTCAATGGAAATGGCAAAATCTTCAACACCCTTACCGGTTTGCTCTAACAGCTGGAATGCATAGAAAACGTCCGGAGCCTGGCCGGCCTTCTTGGCCGCCTCGATGGCCTTCTCCGGCAGGCGGATTTGCGGGAACGCGTACATCGCACCCTGCACTGGATTGCACGAGAATCCTTCGATCGAGTTGAACGTTTGGGCCACCATATCGGCCCGTTCCTTCAGCGAGGCCAGTACGGCGTTCTTCTCCTTAATGAACAACTCGTAGGATGGCTCACCCTGTTTTGGTGGATGCACCACCACGTCCATGCAGGCCTGTCCGATGGTGGTCGGGCAGAGCTGGGCGGAAATGCACTTGAGCAGCATGGCTTTCACGTCCGGGCACATGTTGACCACCTCGGCATAGCCACCGCGGATTCCGCACTCGCCCATGTAGCCCTTCGAGCAGGACATGAAGCTGCACAGTTCCATCTGGTTGTAGGGGGCTCCCATTTCCATCAGCACCTTCTTGAACGAGTGGAACTTGGAACCCTTCTCGTAGACGTTGTCCTGGTAGACTTCGTCGGCGAACAGCACCAGCTTCTCTTTGTAAGCGAACTGGATGATGTTTTCAATGTTGTCACGAGACAGCACCTGTCCAGTCGGATTGCCCGGATTGATGACGACCAATATCCGCGGGGCACATGTTTTCTTCGCTTCCTGCAACGACCTTTCCAGCTCGGCAATGTCCAGTGCCCACTTGTTCGCTTCGTCCAAATAATAACCGACCTGCGCCATTTCGAATTCGGCGATCGTCGCCGAGTACAGCGGGTACTGTGGAATGGGGATCATCACTCCGGGCGTCTTGCCATCGATCGAACACCTCATCAGAGACATTAGCACTTTGATTCCACCGGAGGCACCGGTCGACAGGATGATGTTATTCGCGTCGGATGGGATTCCACCGTCACGGTCCTGAATGTACTGGGCGACATGCTTGCGGATGATTTCGATGCCGTTGGAATCGGTGTACGATCCGACCGAGTGGCCCTTGCAACCGGACAGGATATCACGTGCGCGCTGCTTGGCATCTTCTGGGATCGATTTGTCCTCGAATAGCGGGGGGTACGAGACCAGTCCGAGAACCTATCAGAGAGAGAGAGAAAGGTAAACGTTAGATTATTGTGTAATTTACGACCTAGTTTATGGAGTGCAATTATGGTGCGTTGCTCGCAGCTGATAAACTTTGTCCGATAATGGGAGAGATGAGTACTTGTAGTAAATCATCACCGAAACCGGCAACACTGCGTCCCACGTGTATCCAGTTTCCCATTCAAAACGAGCCAGCCAAACATTGTTTGTCGCGTCCCCTTGGGTGTAGGTTTTGCATTATTCTTCGCGCAATTCTAGATAGAGCTGAAATTAGGGCGTAACAGCTTTTGAAAACAATGACTTCTCTCGATGTTTTCTAGTAAGTCAAGACTCGTTCACGCAATTCAACATCACGGGTTGATTGGTTTGCGTGGGAGTGACTTGAATTCCTAGAAATCATCGCAAGAAGTCATTGTTTACAAAACCTGTTACGCCCTAATTCCAGCTCTATCTAGAATTACACATTTTATATGCCTGCTCGCGAAACGCGTGACTTGTTTATTTGATCTAGCCGGGAAATGGAGCCAAGAATCGCTACATTCGTTGTCATGATATGTGTGTGTGTGTGTACTCCCCAATCGAGATCACCAGATGTTTATGACCGCTTCGCTTTGTGTTACCATGCTGTGGCAATAACAAGCTTGATATCTCCGCTGGCTGGAAGCAGGGAGACGACGTGCGAAATTTAGCAGATCGGGAGCGGAAAGCTCCCTACCCCCGACGGGATTGGATGATGCGTCATGATTGCCGTCGAGGCAACGACTGTATTGCTCGGGGTGAACACGTTATATTAACGATCGCCGGTTGGACCACGTGACCCATCCATCACCATCTATCTTGATGGATGCAGTGTGGTGGTGGTTTTGTAGTGGAATACAAGTACTCCCGATCCCGCCGTACAGATTTGCAATTCACGTTAAGTATTTGTTTGTCTGCATCTTCCCCAAAGGGAAGATAATATTGCCGAGCCGGAGGTCACCTCCACTGCCAATCAAATTTGGCAAACGCAGTTATCAACGTAAACGCTGAGTGGTATCACTAAGGCGACTCGACAAAAAATACCCCGCCCGTCAATATTTGAGTGTTTACTGCTCTTATTCACAGCTGATCCAATTTACCTACTGATTGATGTCAGCATGGAAGGAAATACGGCCACGCGACATCGTGATGGACTCTTGTGTGTCATTTCCAAATGCGAAACATGTAATGATCTGCTTTAGGAAAAGTGGATGGGACTGTGTGGGAGGAGGAGTTGAATGCTTCTTGGCGTTTGCTTCCTACGCTTAGCTATTATAGGTAGGAACACGTGGTCGATGCGGGACGGCACGAAAATTGGTTTAGATGCCATGACCTACGGTAACTGACGTATATTTTAAACAGTAGGTTATTTATCTCTTCTGTATCACACTGGGTCAAACAGTTTCGGGTTAAAATGGACACCTTAAAATTCTAAAGGGTGTCCCACATCAAATTGCATCACGGAAAAAACGCTGTAGAAAATTACCTAGTTGGCCGATCCTTTTCAAACATTCAGGCAATAAAATATAACCCATTAGTAAGCTTTTGGAATATTTATTTCATTCAACTTCAATACCATAACCGTACGCTCGCACCTTACGCTTAACTCCACTCATTAGGTTCTGTACAACATCTGGCTGCAGCTTCTTCTGTACGGAAACCAAGGGGCAAGAAAGCTCCTAATCATGAGCAATTTCAGAGTTGCTTTTGAGGCACCTCGAGTAACTCACATTGCTCAGTAGGCAAGATCGCTGTCATTTGCTTTCTCACTTTTCGCATTACAGCAACATTTGAAGGTGCACCTTCATGTGAAGCCGAAAAGCTGCTGTCAAATAAAACTCTGAATTACCACGGCGCCGTTCTGCTGATGGGGGACATTGCTTTTGCTGGGCCTTCCGGATGGTCGTGATTCGGTCCCGTTTTTTGCTATACACCACCGAGATTTTGCTGCGGCCGCAGGAGAAAGTCGACGAAGAGAATCTGTCAGCTTGATTTGTGCATTTTCCAGACGGGTTTTCACTTCGGTTTCGTCCGGTAGATCGTTAATTTCGTTAAGATCGTTAAAGTTCAAACGAGGACCGCACTCACCGGAAACAGCAGCTAATTCATCGTCATCCTCCTCTTTGGCGTCGGCAGTTGCAGCGGCTGCACTGATGTGGCTGAGCATTCCACGGGGTAATGGTTTGTAGCGTTACCTTCGGAGTTGGAATTGGGTGTTAATCGGTTATTGCCCCACCGGCAGATATTGTCTATACCGGAAACTGTGGCGGCGGGTGCCGTTGGAGGGGCCATGGCTAAAATATTACTCACTATTCTATCCAACGGGAATGTTAGTCGAACCGGGATCGCAGTTAGTTATTACCACATTGACTAGTGATCAGTGATGTCAAAAAATCGCATCTAGCGATCAATGAATACGCACACATCTGCTGCAAGATTTTTTGGCATCATCATAAGCTAACGATGAACTCTGACTCTAAACACAAATACGCAGAGAGCATTTCGAAAAGTGAGTAACCAAGATCTCCAGAGAGCAAGACGATAACAACATCATTGCTGTGTGCACTCACGATACATTACTTATACTACGCAAGGCTTGTTGTGAGTGCACGCTACAAACTAAAGATCTCAATGTGTACAGCTGAGTACAAGAAGTTATTCGGATTATGTACAACTGATGAACAACCGTGATCAGATCATGATCATTGCCATAATGATCGTGATTTTTTTTTTTTTTTGCTTTTTTTCAGTCTGTGAATTAGAAAAGATGCATGTATTTATGTTGGCGGCATTGGTCCTTTCGGTGGAGTGAAAAAGAAAGGAACAGTTCACCGTGCTGACAGAACTATCCGATGAACTACTGAGCCAAATGTGCGCTATTTACAGGTGAGGTGCAAGGAAGCTAGTCGACGCTTTTATTCTCATCGCGTTCTAATACAGCAACAGACGTGACGTAGCGCATTCGAAACCGAGAGATTGAAAGAGTCGACTTGTTTGCATCCTCCTCACCTATAGAAACCGCACATCGCCCCGTTTCAGCCTTCGTGTTAAAAGTTAGGGTAGGAAGGTTCAAAACGCACCCCTGGGGTAAAATGGCCCTGCACTGTTTTTCATAGCTTTCCGATTGTCAATTCGTCAATTTAACCATCAGTATTGCTAGTTCAGTGCTTAAACTAGCATTCTGGCACATGATGTTTACAGAATTAGTAATGGGAAAGCAACGTAAACCCGCACGGTGCCATTTTACCCCGGGGGTGCATACCAACCTGGGAATAAACAAATTTGCTATTGCTCTGTAACCCCAAACTGCCAAAGAATGCTACTCACAGAGAGACACTCACTCTCGTCTCGTGAAAAAAGCACATGTTGCGATTTTTGGATAAAATGAGCGAAAAGGGTAACTCACTTCTCTGAGCTTGACTCAGTCTAACAATGTATTTGTTATTTGTGAGTTGCCTACGCAACAACGTATTTTCAAGGTGGAAGAGGACTAATCGTTGGTCGTAGTTTGTACAGATCACGATCTGTACAGTTTACGACAAACTGGAAATCGGATCATGCTCGCTTGATTTCCATCACTGCTAGTGATGCCTTTTCCAATAGGACTGCTGTTACGACTGGAGAAATCTAAGATGATGGAATCGCTGCTTTATAGGTGGAATTTGAGATGTTTAGAAGAATATTGGAAAGCTTTTTTGATCAGAGTCGATCCTTTCGGAGTGACGACTGGGACTGGTTGCTGAGGAGGAAGAACAACCCTTAAAGCTGGTTGGAAGTGTAGGTTGTTATTGGTAGTAAGCAGGCACCGGCACAGGTTCTTCCATAATAAAGGGCGAACACGAAATTATTGCGACACCGAAAATGTCATGCCAATTTTCTTATAATGTTTAGAAACAAACCAAAATTTTAGGGTAGTTTTATACATATATTTACTTCAAAAATCAAAAGAAAAGTTAATCGATGGGGCCTTGAGTGTAAAATTGAACGCATTTTCGCTTGATGCCCTCCATCAAAGTCTTTACAGTGTCATCCGGTACCAGTTTCTCAGTTTTGACGTAGGATTAAGTCTTTCGGCAACATATTGGGGGTGCAATTTAAAAAAAAAACCAAAATCGACCGCGGGACGAAAATAGGTCAGGTTTTGACCACATATACCACTATCAATAGCAGATGAATTTTAATTCTAAACAAGCCAAAGAATTGGGAATTTATCTACCAATCTGCTAAATTGAACACTATTAATTTTCAATAGGTCACTATTGAAAAATACACAAATGTCCAACTGTTGCAATGGTGATCAAAATTATCACCGATTACCTGCAAACAGCGCATTCCCTAACACAGATTTAAAAATCGAATTCGATCCTGTCTCACTGAACGGTGCTCATTCAATCACCGTGTGTGGTGGTGTCCGATCGTCAACGTCAGCAGCAGCAGCAGTGATCAGCGTGTGGCGTACCCCACGAAAGGCAGCCTGCAAGCAGTGAGCTGCAGAGCCCACATGAGCACCCATAGAAGGAGGAAGAAGCCGCTGAAATCAGTTTCCTCGTGAGAAGCTGTGGGTCATCAATGCCTAGCGCGTCAACCTTGCTCCAAACAATTAACAGATCGCCAGCCTCATCCGTGTTGAACACCCTAATAGCTAAGCATTACTCAACCATCACGACTAAACGGTCCTTTTCAGGACCAGCACAAAATTGTTAAAGAGTATTATTTGGACATTTGTCAAGGTCATCAGTTCCCGCAACCAGCTCAGCCTGTCTATAGAAGGTGTGAAATTGTAGGCCTGATTGTATTGGTGACATTAATCATATCGTCCGGCCATTTTCCAGAGACGGAGCTGTTAACGCTGGTAGGAAGTGATAAAAATCCACATATAGAATTTGAAAGAAGTGGAAATAATTCGCTTTAGGTGAGTGAAGTGAACGACAAGTTAAATTTATTAGTCAGGGACAAAATACTGTTTAATATAAATG